AATTATTCGAAAGCTTTAATTTCTAGCTACTGCCCCATGTCGCCAGTTTTCAAAAAGACCCTTTCATAGAGCTGTTCAATTCACACAAAACTATATCTTAGACGCGTAGATCCGCAGGACAGAGCTCTTTCTTTGGACTATTAGTAATCATTCCACAGCGAAATCGTTGCTGATTCCAACGCTGTGCTTATATCCTTGAAAAAAAACCGTTTCTCTGCAGTGCAACAGTCTCTGTTTCGCGAGAAATATGCGCGTCTGGGAAGCAGGGAATTCCCTCGTGTAACAACGTCAAAAAATTTTTTCCAAGAAAAAAAAGGCCAGGTGAGGCTCTAGCCAAAGCTCTAAGCTTTCGAGTGATCACTAACGCTCCTATGAAAAGTAGCTGTTCACGCTTGAGTTCGGTTTTTCATTTGCCGCCTCATAGTGGGGAAGTACCAAAAATTCTAATAAAAACTCAAATGAGTAGATCAGAACCACAAAAACATGACTGCTGTCAAACTAACCGTAAAAGTAGTTTCCTTTGGTAGCATCTTGTTTATAAGAGCTTGCTCACTAGGAGCCGGAGCAAGTGTCGTGATTAAATACATCTGTAAAAAAAAACAGTTGATTTCTACACCCTTGAAAATTAAGAAACTCAGTATATTAGCTAATTAATGATGAAAAAAATGCTACAATAAATCGACTGAAACCAGATACGTACAGTAGCAGAATCAGGCGATTTGAAGAACCTTTGGGAGAAAAAAACAGTCCAAGAGAAAGCAATGAACTTTCGCGCACTTTCGAACAAAAAACTCTGACAGCCTTGAGAACTGAGAAAAATGTGAGAAAGCGAGATTTCCCGCTGAGAGGTTCACAAAGGCACAGAGTCCAATTTTAAGTGTCAAGAATAATTCCTTAATGACTTGCTGCTGCGCTGATGACGATTTATTTTACTCAGGGTATAAGAGGTTCGCCGCCCGCGTTGTCATCTACTACGCCTTACCCAAAAAACACGTGGGAAAAAGCGCAAAACCGAGAAAGAAATTTCGCCTGCGGGAGCTCGTCTACCGAGAAAAGAACCTAAAATGGCGATCGGGATGGTCAAAAAAATTCAGAACGTGAACAAAATCGCAAAAATAGATATTCTAAGTGCCAAATATAATTCCTAAAAGAAGTGCTGCCGCGCTGATGATGATCTATTTTACTCATGAGATACGAGAGGTTCGCCGTGTTGTCATCTACTGTGCCTTAACCTGAGAACTTGTGGAGGAAATCGTAACACGAACAATAAGATCCCGCCTTTGGAGGCTCGTTTAGCGAGGAAAAAAAATGAAATGGAGACCGTCACGGTCAAAAACGATTAAAAACCTGAACAAAACCGTGAAACTCTTGATTTCTCCGAGTAAAAATGCACTGCAACGATACACAAAAAGTATAAAAGTATAGAAGAGAACCTGATTTTGCTTTGCTTGTATAGTGGGGTGCGTTTTCGACTGCGCAGACAAACGTTTGCCGCCGCGTCGTGAACTCGTTCCACGACGATCAACCTTAATAATCGGACAGTAGAGAGAGAGAGTGAGTGAGTCGTAATTAGTCTGTTGCTCAATAGATTTGACTCTCACCGCCCCCCAACTAAATTAAGCCTTTAGAATAGGACTGGTTGGCTGAAATATAGGGGGTAAGGACTCGTGAAAACGTGGGTGGCTGGATTAACGTCGAGATACGGCGAAAACGATGTTGACCCAGACAAAAGTTTGCTCCCAGCTGACCTTTTCATGGGGTTGTAGGTTGTGGCCAACCTCGTCTTTCCAAGCTCGAAGGCGAACCGCCAAAACTTCAGCGGTTCAAGCGAATTTTACTCTAGACACCTCGAGGTTGGCTTAGGAAGAGAAAAAACTCGGGTTACTGAACTATGACGGGTCTGAAAGATCTAATAAGGCTATGTGTACTGAATATACAACTCTCTGTACTCCGCATAACTCGATAGAACGCGACAAACACTTTGCGCCACCCCATCATTTTAAACGAACCTTCATTCACTTGATGATGAATGACTGGACTGATTGTATTCATGGAGAATCACACAGGGTTCCGCCGGTACATTACCCTCCAATAATCGCTCTCAGCTTTGGGTCAGAACGACAACTTCTCCTTCCGAGTGCAAAGACATTACTGACTCCAAGGGGCCTAGTAATTATTAACCAAAGGTAATGGCTCTACTATCTGAATCAACAACGCCACAATGTTACTGAGATTTCCTTCTGTATGATAGTGAATCTTGGCAATTGTTCCACCTCTTCGTTAAGCAATTCCCGGCAGAAACGATGAAAACCTCCTCACTCAGGAAAACTATCCTACTGATACGACTTTCATTTGCGTGCCGTTGTAAATCTAAACTACGGAGCACTCCTACCAGTGGCGCAATTTCATTACGGGATAAGCGGTAAACTGCTTGATAGATAACTGATTATTGATGTCCCACACGGGTTAAGAAGAGAGTGGCCCACGTGGCACAGTGCTTGGAGGTGCTTTGCGATGCACGCTCGGTCGGTCGATGGTTCGATTCCACGCCCGAAGCTCACCGAGCCTTCTGACCCCCCCCCCCCCCGGAGTTGATGAATTGGTACCAAATTTGTGTGGGAGGATAGCAACGCTGATTTGATACATCAGTAGGCCACCCCACCGCGAGTCATTGTAAGAGGCAGATATGCATTCAGTCACTTTAAGGATGGTGGATGAAGGATGCTTGAGGCGATTCCTTAGGGGATTGTTTGACGCCGAGAGCTTTAGCCTTTTATAAGTCGCAATAATTTGCTCATCCATGGAAAACGTAGAATTCTGAGAAAAGATATTCTCAATAAAAGGACACACGTATTTGGGCATATCTAAATGGAGGCATTCAACGGTCAAGTCAAACGTCGTCGTGTTGTAGTTCACACAGATACTTAGCTAGCGATTAGCAATACCTTCCAATTGACGAAGTAGTCGATTGAAAGGTATTGCTATATGCGTCTTACCAAGCCGTAAGCCATCGACTGACAATCACTCTGAATCGCAACATCAAGTGATCTTTTCACTTGACGTGGAACGATACATCTGTGAATCGAAACGCATGTGGTTGCTAGATGAGGGATACGAGGACGCCGACGTGCGTCTACCAATCGAGATGCTACACCAGCTAGACCATTTGAAGGGTTCAAAATACTCTGTCACCTTTTGACACCTTATTGATCCGTCTTCGCAGAGCCTTTTCTCACTGTGCTCATCCCAGTACTTCTGGAGTTCAATTCGTTGTTACGTCTTTTTCTTGAATGTCGTAGGGTACTGCTTGAACGAGTCTTCTTACAATCTCGAGGATAGCCCGGCTGCGGTGTTCCATGACTGCCGGAGAGAGCTGGGAGGTAGATATTTTTCCTCGCAGGCAATTCTTCAACCTTTTATGTATCTCAAGCCACCGGGATCGACCGGGCACCTGTGACGCGCGCCGCCTTGAGCATCACAACCAGTCGGCCCCCCCCCCTCAAGTAATCCATCAAACTAGGTAAATTTCTTCTATCAAGCTTTAGCTCGACCGACTGTCATTACTAATAGCCAGCGATGAGCATTTATTCGAGTGTATGGAATATGATAGATATGGGGCGGAACGTCAGTTCAGTTTTTAAAGCTTTTTCTCTTGATTCTCCGAATTCACTCACCTCCATGCCTTCAATGACGGTCGTTCTCAGCACGGCACCGTACATCGACTCATATCACACTCTAAAATCTGCAAAATGTCAGCGATTCATCAGTGAGTGAGTGAAGAAACTTGTCCAACTAACGAATGTCTCAACCGATCGCGCGACACGACAACAATAAATGAGGGGAAATCATCGACTCGACCGATTCTCAAGCAATCAACGGAATTGTAGAGGAGAGAAAATCAGTGATTATCTACCGAAAACAAGATGAGATAAGGACGCTTGTGAAGAAATATTGTGAATGAATACAGAGAGAAAGATAGAAAAAGTGATAACAGCAGAATACGAGGCGCGGATAGCGCAGTGGCTAGAAGGAACCCCAGAACGTCATGAGACGCGAGTTCAACTCACGCGCTCGTGGTTAGAGAGATTTGAATGAAAGTGGTTCACTTGAGAGCATAACCAGTCATTACTGTTAAGCCATTAGCACTTAAAGACCATCTACAAGGCTTCTATCATTTGATACGCCTCGCTCGAGTTGACCAGGGAAAATCGTCGTTTAGTCCCGCCAGCGATTCACCCGCGAGAGTCTCCAAGACAGCTGCGCTGGGGTGGTCGTTCCTAGGTCATCTTCATTAGCACCGCTGGGGTTTTACTGGGGAATGGAGAGAGGCAGATCCCAAGAAATCCCACACAACTACTCAACCATAACTGTTTTGTTCGACATCGAGCGACGAGGCGCTTTGATGATAAAATCACGTCCTTCTGACATCGATTTTTACTTCGTTTTTATTTTAGAAAATAAAAATCTGGCGGTGGCCGACTTCTCTTCCATTTTTTCATGCTTTTTTTTGGCCTCAAAAAGAAGTAGAACTTAATTTTAGTCATGAGCAATTGTCGAAGAGCATAGATAAACACGTAAAAACACCACCGCATTATCATTAGGCTGAGATACTCAATAATAGCTACATAAAAATTGAGTGGTGAGCAAAAACTCGACTCCGACGGGAGTTGAAACTGCGTTTCATCCATACCGGGACCGCGTGCTACCACTACACCACAGAAGCACATGTGCGCCACCACTCATTCTTCCATATCTCTATGTTAGCTATCAGACACTAACATTTGATAGATCTGGTCGGGTATACGCTATAGCTTTATGAACCCAGTTAAGCTGATAGCCATTGTGATATAAAATACTCAAGATTTCTAATGTTTATATCACAATGACTATCTGCTTAATTGGGTTTATGAAGCGATACCGCGTACCGGACCACACTTGATAGAGGTTGGTGGCTGATAGCTATCAAAGAGTCATCGAAGACTGAGTGGTGGCAAAACGCTGCTTCTGTGGTGTAGTGGTAGCATGCGCTCCCGCTATGGGTGGAACGCGGGTTCAACTTCCGTCTGAAGTCCGATTTTTGCTCACCACTCATTTCTCTTAGATATCTGATGATTACTACTTGAGCCAACATGTCATGTGGTCTTTTATGAACAACTCATAGAGTCCGATACACGTGCTTCGGCCTTGACAGCCTTATGAGTCGAGCAGGGCCCTTCGTCCTAGCTAGTCCTCTCGGGTACCTACTTAGAGTAGGCGACGATGAACAATTTACACGTCGCGTCAAGTGAACTGAATAACTAGATCGGCGGTGTTTTACACTCGATTACCTTTGTTGGTATTCATACAAATTTCAAGCGTAGTCTCAAAAGAACACCTGAAACATACGCTATGATATCTCTTAGACATATTTACGATATCATAACACTGCGACAAAGGCAGTAAAAACATTAGAAAATCCTGAGTAATTGCTACTTATGATTACTTCGATTTTACTGACTGTTCACTGGTTTTTTGAAGCTCTCTTTTAATTCATGTGATCTAAATGAGGTGAAAATATAACAGATTTGCTCTGGAAGTATTTTCAAGGGAAGAAAAAACAGAAATAAAAAGCGGAACGAGGGAGGCATGATCCATAAAATGTATGGCATCATAGACGAACGAAACCCATCTGCACCCTCGTTGGCTTTTTCCTCAAATGGAGGAGAATCGGACGATCACATTACGACGATGGCGATGTACTTACAAATAGCCACCCCGTGTCGCGTCGCAGCTGCGTTCACTTTGACGATCGAAGAATTTTCACCTCCACCGATCGATAATATCGATCGATAACACCAATATTTCGTATCACAAGAATCATGAAGGAGATTAACTAAACCGATTAGAAATGATTTCAAGCGGGCGGAGCGTAGACGCATCTAGAAAGGCCCTCTTCGACTATGAAGCATCTTAACCTCTAAAGCCTGAATTGCAGAGATTACCAGTATTGATCGAACGCGATCAAGAAGGGCGACAGTCATTCTCCTCAATATTGAGTCCGGACAGTCCCCGCCATCCGTTGATTTTCGATATACGATCTGCAGCTGCCGCATTGCACACGCATCGTCGACAAAAAGGTCAAATGTATCTGCACTCTAGTACGATACAGTTCACCAACGCCTTCCAGTTCATTACCGACAGTCCTTCACTGGTGGTGTAGCGCAGTGGTTAGCGATCAGTTGTATCGAAAATCAAGAAGCGAATTTGATCTCCTTTCAAGCACTCTCTTGCGACCGATTGATGAACGCCCCTAGCAACGCCTTGGTTTGGCTACCACCACGATAGAAAGGAAGATCGCCTCGACCAGCAGTCCCTGGCATCCATAGAGAAAGCAAAGTCCTAAAGCAGCATCTAAAGCAATGCGTGATGTTCGAAGACCTCTATGGAGGATGCGGAATGCGAGGAATGAAGCGAATGCAAGAAATACCGCGATCCGCAAAATAAATTTGGATGACGGCTCGTGCAAATTAGATAAATAAAAAAGGAGATGATTGAGCCGGTGATAAAGGAAAGATAAAAGGATAAAGCTCTCGGCGTTGATCAATCCCTTAGGGATGCGCCATGCATTCGACTTCAATTTCTAACTTCGTTTGAGGTGATTGAATGCATATCTGGCCTTTACAATGACTCGCGGTGGCCTCCCGCTGAACCGAGTCAGTGCTGCTTACCCTCCCAGACAAGTCTGAGACCTGCCTGGTACCAATTTACCGACCCCGGAGGGATGGATGGCTTGGTGGGCCATGAGCGCGAGATCGAACCACTGACCTCGTGTGCGACGCAGGGCACCTCTAACCACTGCGTCACATGCGCTCTTGGTGATAAAGGAAAACTGGATAAAATTGAAAACATTCCTCAAATTCGATAAGAATTCTTATTTGACCGCTTCTATAGCAGAGTTATGTGTTAATTCGACATATCCAAGAATGCTGAGTATTTTGCAAAACTTCGAATTTTTGGCGAGAGTTGAACTAGAATTTGACTCTATTTGGGAGCGCGTGCTATTCATCTCACTACCGAGGTTCTTTTTCGCTAGCACTTAATCTTATGCTGATAAATAACATTACCAAAAAAGCGTAAAACAAAGAATTTTTGTAGAATACATGGATACATATACATAAACAGCTCTCAGCTAAAGTGTATTTATTGCCACTATAAGCTTACCAGACCGAACGCGTTGATGATTGGTTGCTAACAAATACGATACCGGAGATCGCAGAAAAGAATGATAGCAAAGCAGAAGGTCCAGTACCGTAGTGCTTTGCAAGCGCCCTTGGTAAGGATGAAACGTGGGTTCAACACCCGCCTGTGATTCAGGGTCTCGCTGATTGCAAAACATTCTTCGGTGCATAATTCTTGCGAATCTTCCTGACTGATAGCAACTCGTATATAGTACTTTATGGAGGAAGAACTGAATAAAGAGAATATTTTCTACATGACAGGGCGCTCATTTCCCAAGGAAAACAAATGAAATGCCAAAAATAGTTGAGTGTGCCATAACTACATGATTAGATTGCTGTCATGTGCTTTATGTCTATTGTTTTGCACTGACTTATCATACCAGTCAGTAGATAAAATCACATTAAATTCAACTACTTACATTATTTACATTGATCGATTATTTTTCTTCTACTACTCTTGCCCATTGTTTACATAACACCTGGTTTACTGCGTTGTTTACCGATCTATACACTATTGTTGTTCCATTTGGTCGTTCTCTTATCTACAGCTATCGGAACCATTTCTATGAGAACTAAAATTCTAGACAAGATCAAAATTGTAAGCGTGAACTTGAAGCTTGAAAGTAGAACAGTTTTCCTATCGAAAAACCTTTTTGATTTTCACAATCTCGATTTCTTCCTTCCAACGATTCACTACAGCACGAAATTTTTCTTTTCAATGTAATATTAGTTCGAATTTTCTTCTCACCAATCAATCACAACAAAATATGCTTCGTTTTCGGAATTTTGCATACTTCCTGTGTCTTTGCTAAGCTTCCAAGATCGTCTACAATTCAATGAACTTCTCCGAAGCAACAGTTTTGATATTGACCAATAAAAAAAAGCTTCTGATAGAAAATGTTCGCCCTTATGTGTGGTCTTTTTGCACCATCGCTTGACTGCACTCCTATTATGTGCATTATACAAACAATTTTGTCGAAGTAATGCCCGTTTTTCTCGTTGAAGTCTTTTTTCGATGAATAGGCGAACAAGACCACAATTCATTTGCATTGATTTTTTCCATCGTCAATTTTAGCAAGTGTTCAATTATTACAACAACACTCCACTATCTCCTGCCTAACCGAAAGAAGTATAGTTTTTCTTGTGATTACGCATTAGCGAACGCTTTCTAAAAGATGTAACGTGGTCGAAGTTGACTGAAATTCTAAAAGATCACTTGTACTTGATGCTTACATCTAAACCTACTCAGCTAAACTTGTACAACAAACTGGGCTTCAAATCGTAATAACTCAAAATTGGCATACTCCTTGTGCTTTGAGGCATTCATCGAGACTGACTGAATCTAATACAAGGCATCTGCCCTTCTTTTCACACATACAACCTTTGAACGACAACTTTGTCTTAGTTAGATCAGAGGTAATATTAACTAGTATCAATAATGAATATCAGACACGATGGTTAGGCAGCCGACGTCCATTGGATCACCATTGGTTATATTGGATAGATAAAGTAAGTACTGATAAGCACAAACTCAAGATTTATTTTAAATTGCTTTTTCCTGTGAAAAAATTCTATGGTGTCCGAAAAAAGTAATTGCATTTCTCAGTCTCTCAGAGGAGGCTCTCAGAGGAACAGAGGTTTCCACAACGCAGGTTCGAATGCCATCTGTTAGCAATTCACATTCCATTAATGGATTCTCTATTACGTTGGTTTAACACGGCCAAAATAGGTCGATTTCATTGTGAAGGGCGCTGCTGGTGACAATATGCTTTGTGTAATGAGGCCAATTCTTCGAAAAGCATTAAGCGATATTCACCGTAGACGATACTAGCCGTTGTCGATTCCTTAGCTATCCGCTTTCAAATTCCTATGTAACAATTGTTCTTACTCTTCATAGCACCCTGATGACCACGCAATGCCCACTGTTGAATCGTATTTCTATTCTGAGCAGAACAAGCGTAAACTAGGGTCGACGCAAAGTTGAAACAAACTCTTTGGAAATTCTACATCTTCTGTATAGATGGAGATCATTGCAAAACATAAACCCTTCGGAGAAAAGCCAAGAGATTTGACTAAGAGATGAGTTTTAGTAATAAAGCGAGAAATGCGAAAGTTAGATCGAAAAACCCAATGTACTAACTTTACGCGTATTATTGACAAAAGGCTGAAAAGTAGTAGCTTGGAGGAGAGAGTATTAGGCAAGTAGTACATCGACAATAACTAAGGGGAATCGACTGTGATGACATTTTATCTAACTAGTACAAAAAATCAATAAGGTCCAATTTTTATCGCACTGCTGTTGTTTATATAGCTTTTTTTTGATTGTCTGCAAATCGTTTTGTTTTCTAGTCGAGAACCGCTCATAACCACACGCTCCGAAGTTATAAAGGATAAACGCTGAAAAATCCCCAGAGCAAAGGCCTCGATGGTGTAGTAGAAACCTAGCAAATCCCCGGAAAACGCGGATTCAAAGCCATCTCAAGTCCCATATATAGCTCGTATCTCAGCTTTCCTGTAGTTATATTTCACATTGTACGCTGTCAGTAACAATGAATTAGGGTGAAAGTATTTTAGAAATAATTATAGAGGCATGAATGAGAGCAAAAAATCTCCTTCAGCTAATAATAAAAACCACTGTTGCAAACAATTTATTCATCTAACCGGACAAAGCGATAAACCCACGCTAGTTTTCGACCTTCTCCGCACACAATTCGTACCACATAATAATAAACGCAGGCTTTTTGTCCTGTATAAAAACACTGCTTAACGAGCATTCGCAGACGGCCAATAAATTTTGCTTAGGGCATCGTAGTGCTTCTCCGTGCAATAAAAACTAACAAAAAATTTTTTTTTG